GCAAGAAACCAGTTAATAATGTAAAATAACTCAACACAGTCATAGCTTATAGATGGAAGACCTGAATTTGAATCCAAAGCTTGCAGATTAGAAACTAGATCCTATATTTTCATATTTATGGCCAGTGAACCTTGAAATGCACCAGACTGTCTTCTGTAAAGTGTGATTTTCTTGACCAGCGCTGTTGTGAACAGAGCTCACCCCTTCTTCACTGTGCCAGGGACATTCCATGACTAGAGGAAAACAAAAGGTTGAGAAAGCCAATTTCAAACCCAGTAAGAATCACTACCTACTGGACACACTGCCAAATACTATTTAGAGACAAATATTTATAAAATACCTAACCCCCAAAATTTCAAGGAGTTTATAGCCAGTGGTCTCATTAAGTTTCGTAATCTCATTACAGACACAGAACATTTGTGTAAGTGACATCATTGCTGTTTTGTCTTACGTGTGTTAAATCATTCCAATAAAACTGTTATATTTTACAAATAAAAAAGTATTGGTTGATTATAACATATATCTCTTCAGGCTTTCCACTTGGTTTACCGCTGGCTAAAAACAAGAACTTCTCCACCATAAATGGATTAGTACTGGTGTTGTATTCTGTAACAGGCCCACACTCAAGTCCATATATGTGTATCCCTGTTACAAAAGGGCAGTTTCCAGAGCTTTAAGTTATGTTTCATAGCAGTGGTAAGACCTTGCCTTTAAATCACTGAGATTGTTGACAGAATGGCAGGCACCCCAGTTTCTGCTACTTGCTGTGAGAAATGATTTTTATGAATAGTGATACGAAGGGAAGCTGAAGGATAGATCTTGACTGCTTTCAGCTTGAAACTATATCTCTTGTTTTTCTATGGCACTCCTTTTGGTGGTTTGGTTCTCTCTCCCTCAAATATAACTCATTGTTTTGAGTGTGGAGTTTTGGTTCGTTATGCAAACTATTTCTATATGTACATGTATTAGATGATAAGTTACTTTTGTACAAATAACTTTTTTGTATTATACCCACATGTCAGAGTTCACCTGTGTACTTCTACATCTTTTTAAGAGATCAAAAAAGACTATTTTAATAAAACTAACTTAATTCTGAATCCCTTCTCCTGATTTTCCCCCACATACAAGATGCTATAGTTTAACACCACAAGAAAGAGCTTTTTTTTCTTTTAATCTGTATTAGTGATATATTAGGTTTCTGTCTCATGCGATGGTCTTGGGCCAGCTCTTTTCACTGGAGAAGAGGTGCTGCGATGTTGGGGAGCTGGGAGAGCTGTGATCCTTCCAGTGCTTTAGTGATAGCAGTTCTGGCTGGAAGGATGGTCCCACCCTTTGTGAGCCACATTTTTATCAGACACTCAGTTCCAGGGCTCAGCAAATCAGTGGCTCAGGTGAGTACACATACTTACACAGTAGTCTGAAAGTATTATGAATCAATCCCAGGTCCTCCCTGTGTAGAAAATTTATAATCAGGCATAGTGTGGCTTTTTTAGGGTACTTCTTTTTCCCTCCTCACTGCTGCTGTTGGTGTGTTGTTTTAACTTGGTTTTATTTGCTTAATTAAAGGTGTACTTGGTGGATGAAGGGTGGAAAGCAAAACAGAGGTCCTCAGAATGTGAGTCTTTCCGAGAGTAGCGAAGACAAATAATAAAACAGTTAGAATTGGTTAATATCCGCCTTTACACGAAGCACTTTCATAGTAATTGCACTTGAACCTTATTACATTGTAATATTCCACACCCAGAAACCAGCAGGCTTTATTTTGCTTACTGTGTCTTTTACTGTTCATTTATCAAAGTCTAAAACCCAGCTTCTTACTTTGCATCATACGAGTCATACTGATAAGAAGTGGATCATGAGCATGTCCTGAGTCCAGGGTTGGCTGCATGTCCTTGGCCCTGTGACAGTTGCTTGCTCATTGTTAGGATGTGCACCATTGTCCACAGCCACAGAAGGATCTACTTACTATAATAAGAACTAAGTTCCCACCTCACCGCTTTCCTCCTCGGAAAGGATCAGTGTGACGGTTTTATAAATATTTTCACTGTTTTTGGAAACTGAAGAACAACAGTAATAAAGATCATGCTATTGTAGGATGATGCACTCTGTTCCACTAAACGGGAGTATGAGATAATAGATGTAAGAAAGAAGCTTTTATAGCTGTACTAAAATATGCTCACTCAACGAAATTTTACCAAATAAAGATTTCTGAACAGTGTGCGCACAAAGACAAGAATTTGCCTTTCTGCCCTCATGTCTGTCTGTCTGCCTTTCTCTCCTGCTGCCCCGTCTGTCTCTCCATCCACCCCTACATAAGTCAGACCTAGTATTTGAGTTCATACGTTGAAAAGAATTTTAAGAAAACTCAACACAAAAGAATATATAATTACCTGTCAGTTTGTTACTTGACAAAACAATGCATTTAAGTTCTTAGATGTTTGTTTTTAATTTTAGATAGGATGTTACTGAGTTACTGTCTTCCTCCTGCCTCAGCCTTCTGAGTCACTGGGGTAATGGGCTTGTGCCACCACACCAGGCTACATTCTTCTTATGCTAGTATATTGCCTTTCTATATGATCAACTATACATCTGTGAATAACAGTTTAGTTTCTTCCCTTCAGATGAATCCTTATGATTCCTATTTTTTAAATTTTCTCGCTGCTCTGAATAGTACCTTCAGGATGATGTGAATAGAACCGATATATCAAGTTTCTTTCTTGTTTTCAATCTTAAAATTAATACACTAAATTTAATGTTTGTCTAGTGTTTGACTTTTTTTTCAGAAACTGTGGAATCCTGCTAGTTTTTTTATAGAAGTTATTAAACAGTTAACGTGAGAGGTGTTGAAATGTTTCCAGTACTATTTCTGCATGCAGTGAAAAGCAAACATTCACTTTATTAGTTTCTGCTCTGTTATTTTCTTTCCTTGTACTTGAGGGTAATTCTGCCTTTTCCCCACTTCTTGAGTTGAATACTTTTGCCTCACAATTTTTGTTTCCACCTTTTCAATTTGAGCATTGAACTAGAGAACTCTTTCATTAGTTACCTCAGTATTTTAGCATGGACATTTAACCTAGTAATATCTGGTGTTATATTACACCGCAAGCTAGTGTCTTCCTAAGCGATTGACATAAATCTTTAAAACACTCATGCCTGTTGTCCTGTATTTCAGATCCAGCTTAAATTTCTGATATCACAGGTTTCCTGCTGTTCTGCCTTGCTCTGTTGCCTTTCCCAACTTCTGGCAGAGACTGCATGAATCCTCACAAACTGCCTCTCCCCTTTCTGTAGGAGGTGAGGGTAGTCCTTTCCTCTCATGTACATTGTATGTTGCGCCCTGACCCCCAAATACTGTTTTTTAATAAGCTAATTTTTAACACTAGACTTATATCTCCTACTGTCTCCTTGATATTTCTACTCGGCCTCACAGGCATTTCAAACTTGTTAGTTGTTTAAAAACTTTTATCAACTTTCCTTGTCCCTTACCTCAAATTAGTCTCTCTTTTGTATTATCATAATGCATTAAATATTCCTCTCACCAGCTTACTTTCTAATCCCCAAAATCTGTGTTCATTTTTTTAAGAAAGCAGTATCACATCCAAATCAACCACAAGGTTAAATAATTTTTATGTTCAAGGGTAGCTAAAATCTGTGTCTTTTCATCACTACTGATGAAACTTTAGTCAAAGCCATAATTCAACTTACCTGGACCACAGCAATAACCATCTAATATGAAGATTCCATTTATGAAATGCTACCTGTTCCTGTTACTAGGAGCCATCCCACTGCAAATTAAATGTGTAGTTAAGATGTTAACAGTCTCCCTACCGCAAGTATGTTTTACCCTCAATGCATTCTCCGTGGGGTGTAGGGTTTGTTATATTTAAAATTATAGATTGGATCACGTTATTGTATTGCCTAAAGCCTTCACATGCTTCCCCATCACTCTTGTAATGAAGGCCAAATTCCATACTGTGTTCTCTCCAGCCTTTTTATTATCCCATTCGTGTTCCTCATGGTAGTCATCCCAGTCTTTGCTGGTTCCCTGAAGAACAGTCTTTTTCCTAAATCGTGACCTCTGCAGATACTCCTCTTTCTACCCAGAATTTGAAAGGCTTTTCTTCTCCCTTTTTCCTGTTCCCTATACACAATATGCACTATATTTTCCACTTCCTAAACCTAAATGTCACTTTCATATGGAAGCGTTTTCTTATCAGGCTCAAGTGAAAATTATTCCCTCTCAGGGTAGTTTTGGAAGATTGGTGATTGGACTCATTTTGTTCATCACCCCTAGTATCAAGCACATTGCTTGGCACATGGGCACACATGTAGGTTCTATGAGTAAGTGTCTGACTTTCTACGTAGCTGATCCTGGACACACTGAGATAAGGAAGTGATGCCTTTACCATGATGGCAGATATTTTGTTAATCTATAATTTTCATACATGGTAGAGTACATGGTAGGTGGTAAGCAAGTGAGAAAAAAATGAAAAAAAAGAAGAGGAAGAAACAAACAGTACTAGAAAGGGCCGGGAGGAAAGGAAAAGTTGGAAATGGGAATGGAAGCAAATGAGAAAGTTACTCTTTGATGGAAAAAATGGTATCAGTCTACCTGCCTTTCACTTGCAGTTTTTTTTTTTTTTGAAGGGGGAAAAGCAATGAAATATTAACATGCAATAAAATAGGAAGCTTCTTGCTCTGATGATTTTTTGATGTTTTTATTTATTCATTTTGGCAAGAGAATAATTAGTACAGAATTGTTAGCTTCAGACATACCCGTTTAAGAGCATGCTTTTTAATTATAATCCAAAGTCTTACAAGGAAAATATATATTTCCTTCTTGCTTAAATATGTGTATATTCATCCTTCCCCTACAAAGACTTGCCTTTGTGTACCATTATAGACGTTTAAAAGGATTTTATGAACTAAACATGTGTGCACTTACTTATTACCAATTAGATATAGTTAAGCAATGCCCGTTTATATTTCCTAAATTGTAGAAAAATATGTCGTAACTGCAAGTGTGGCCAAGAAGAGCATGATGTCCTCCTGAGCAATGAAGAGGACCGAAAAGTGGGGAAACTTTTTGAAGACACCAAGTATACCACCCTAATTGCAAAGCTGAAGTCAGATGGAATTCCCATGTACAAACGCAACGTTATGATACTGACCAATCCGGTTGCTGCCAAGAAGAATGTCTCTATCAACACCGTCACCTATGAGTGGGCGCCTCCTGTCCAGAACCAGGCACTGGTAAATGAAAGGGAATAGGAGTCTTTTTATCCTGGACTTTCATTTAGGACAGTTCCTTTAGTGCCATAATCAACCTCATACACCCCCCATCTGTTATTTGGGGTAGGAGATACCTTTACTTTGACTGGCTCCTGTAGCAACCTTTTGAAAATAAGATTAGAAAATACCTCACAGAATTTTTCTGACTACCAAGAGGTTGCTGGGAATGATCTACCATGCTTAACAATTTCACCAAATTGCATTTTTTGTATCAGTCTATTAACTCCTAGTTTTCTCTTAAGAAGATTTCTCTTAAAGTAGCAGAGAATATTTAAGGAATAGAATTTCTGCCATTGTTTGCTGAACAAAAAGTGTTGAGCATTTTGCTTTTTTACTGTATACAGCAAAAAATTCAAATTTTTATTATGCTCCTTCCACTGCTATGACAACTAAATGAACTATTTAGAAGTCCTTGAGAAAGGTTACTTAGGTCATAGAAGTGAATCGTGTGGTATCGTTTTTCATGCAGTGGAGTCCTGCTGTTCCATAGGCCATTGTAGCCATGTCTGCCTAAAAACTTACGTTGTCTTTCAATCATATATTTGTTGATTTAGCACAACAAATACTTACCTTTAAATATAAAATATTTTTAGAAATTGAAAAAATTAATTTCATCAAAAACAATGTGTTTATTACCTATCTACCTTTAGTTAGTATGCCAATTTCTAAAGTGTTGACATCTCAAGACATTTGCAGTGTGAAAATGGATGAAATCCACTTTTCTTGTAACTAACCTGCTTGTGATGTGGCCAGTACTTTTCCCCTTTAACAATGGTCTGTCCCTGTGCTGCAGGCCAGGCAGTACATGCAGATGCTGCCCAAGGAGAAGCAGCCAGTGGCAGGGTCAGAGGGGGCGCAGTACCGGAAGAAGCAGCTGGCTAAGCAGCTCCCAGCACATGACCAGGACCCTTCCAAGTGCCATGAGTTGTCTCCCAAAGAGGTGAAGGAGATGGAGCAGTTTGTAAAGAAATACAAGAATGAGGCTCTGGGGGTCGGAGATGTCAAACTTCCCTGTGAGATGGACACTCAAGACCCCGACAAAGTGTACCTCCCTGGCGGGGACAGAACCACCACACCAGCAGCAGGGGCCATGGAGGACAAATCTGCGGAGCACAAAAAATCCGAATACGTGAGTAGAGTGGTCATATTGTTGACCCAATTTGTGTATTTTCTGATTATATATAACCAGGGATAATTGAGAATTTTCTGTATACATAGTAGTTAGTGTTGCCATCCTGCTCTGACGTGGCATAGTCACCTAGAATCTCCTACCATAATTTTCTTGTTAATTGCATGTCTGTTTGTATAAGCATGAATAATATATGCTTAGATTAAAAGTCAGACTTAAGTTTGTATTGCTATATTGGCAAGCATCTGTGTGTGTGTGTGTGTGTGTGTGTGTGTGTGTGTTCTAGAGAGGGAAGTTGGAGTCATTTTCTAATGATCTAAAAGTGAACAATTATGACACAAGACTTAGGAACAAAAGTCACTGTAATGTATTCTCATTGATCCAGTTAGCACATCAGCCATTAAGGTTTAGCACTGGAGAAAAGTTACTAATAAGCTCTAATCCTTTTTGAAAGAACTTGTGTAAAATTCCGGTGAAAATTGCTATGTCCATTTGTGACTTCACTTCAAGAAACAATAGGGTGAAGAAGTAGGCTTGAACAGTCTCAAGAAAGCTAAGAGATTACATGTGCAAAAGTATCAATAGCATATTCTCTAGATGGACAAATTAGTGAATAATTTCCAGCAGAAAGTATTTCTCATGAAATCGTTGCACATTTGTTGCTCTTCATTGCTGTTGGGGCTGACAATGAGAATGTCAGTTTTCTGATGACCAAATGTTTTGGATACTTCCTTTTTAGTCCTGCTATTGCTGCAAATTGAGCATGAAAGAAGGGGACCCAGCCATCTACGCAGAAAGGGCTGGCTACAATAAACTCTGGCACCCAGCATGTTTCGTCTGCAGCTCCTGTGGTGAACTCCTGGTTGACATGATTTATTTCTGGAAGAATGGGAAGCTGTACTGTGGCAGGCATTACTGTGATAGTGAGAAACCCCGATGTGCTGGCTGTGATGAGGTTTGTTCTTGGGGACCACACACATGCAGTCTTCCCCATCCTCTCTACAGCCCCTTACCCATAGGGCAACATGAGTAAAGTGAACGTTTGTTGCTTTGTTTACATTCAAAGAAGGTTAACCAAAGAAATTTGGTTTTGTTCATTCTAGATGTTAATTATGTTAACTAATGAGAGCCTGTTGATTTGTACTAAATGACAACAAATTCAAATTAATGTTAATTTGGAGACTTTAAGCCCCAAGAAAGTGTTCGATCTGCCTGTAGCCTAAATGCCTTATTGTCTAAACCGCCTAACTTTATCATCTATAGCACAATTAAAAATGCCTGAGTCATCTTATTTTTATCCTCTTCCCAGCTGATATTTAGCAATGAGTACACCCAGGCAGAAAACCAGAATTGGCATCTGAAACATTTCTGCTGCTTTGACTGTGACAACATCCTCGCCGGGGCAATATATGTGATGGTCAATGACAAGCCTGTGTGTAAGCCCTGCTATGTGAAGAATCATGCTGTGGTGAGGAACTTGTAGAGATACAACTGCCTGCACTTGCTTTGCACTTTGAGCTTACGCTTCTCTTTAAAAATTTCTTACAAATAAGAAACAGGAATCAGTCCTCTTATGTAGAAAGCATTTAGTGCCATCATAGGATTAAAATGCATGCAATTAAAAAACAGCACATGCAATGACACTAAACCAGTCAAGATGGCTCCTTCTGCTTGTGTGTTTACAGAATGGATTATAATGGATAGTAAAACTGTCACTTTTTAAAAAAAATTCTTAATGGGAATGAAATTTATTTTCCTAAGTACAAATCAGATTCTGTTTTTAAGTGCTTAGGGATGATTCATATTTCCAGCTACACTTGAACATGTGTGGTTTCTATTCATCTTACTGGACCACCCTCTAAGACTTTGTTTTTGCCTCCTGTGAATGCACAGTGCCCATTTAAAAAAATTCTATTGAACAGATTTCGTGTGACAGAATTTGGCCTGTACATTTAGATTTGTGTTGGGTTAATATTCAGTTAATGTGAGTGTGTAGTTTTCCTTGCATTTACTATTCTTCTCATATATATCATATTATTTTCTCATATTTCTCATTTATTTTAACATCATCATAAACTTCCCTTTTACCAGGAAAAAAAAAAAGATGTTAAATTACTTTGTGGCTTATTTAGCTAAAATAATCTGTAAATACTGTTGCAACTGTTTTGTTTGTTTGTTTGCACGATGTTGTGTTAGCCTTTGCTGGTGTGATGAGGTAATTGACGTAAATCAACACAGAACAGTGATGGTGAACCTGTGACATGAATGTTCCAGGAAACATGAAGAGCCCTCCCTGGAATGATGTCACACAAGTTGTATGACAGATTTAATCACAGTGTTGGCACTTGGTGACAGATAAGTAGGTTTTAGATTGCAGTTTGGGTATGTGGTCTCTAAAAGGTTCACCATCAGGACATCTAGAAAGCAAGATTTATTGTTACTCATAGTTTTAGATGTTTCAGTCTTGGTCAGCTGTCTTAACAAGCCTGTGGTGGAGCAGAAACATGGTGGCAGAGGGCATTACAGAGGAAAATTTCTCACCTCAAGGCAGTGAGAAAGCAAAGAGAAAGGGAATGAGCTTGATAGGAAGAGGCTGGAGACCATATGTAAACCCCAAAGTTATGCCCCCATGATCTGCTTCCTTCAACTAGACCCCATCTTCAGATTACTGAGTTCATGAACTGATGAAGTTAGAGGTTTCATGATGCCATCACTTCCTCAGAGCCCATCAGGTGGCAGTTGGGGACATATTAGATCCAAATCATAATATTTCACCCCAGGTCCCAAGAAGCCAGATGTCCATTTTATAAATGCAAAGATGTACTGAGTCCATCTGCAGAAGTCACCAAAGTCTTAACAGTTCCAGCATTGCTCCGAAGTTCAAATCTAAAGTGTGCTCTAAGACTGAAAGCAGATTCTTAGTTGTGAGCTTCCTTAAAAATTAAAAAAAAACCAAAACGCATATTTCCAACATATAATGATACAAGGTAAACGTTGCTACTCCAAAAGGGAGAAATAAGGGCATAAAGAGAAGGAATTGGACCAAATAAGACCTAGAACCATCAGGCAAATGTGAAATCCTATAGCTTATGTCCAGCATTTGGGCATATGGTGGCGTGATTTGAGCTCCAAAAGCTGTCTGTACAACCTTGCCGCTTGACACTGTATGGCCTCACTCAGACTGGCTCAACTCACTACCTTCAATTTTCCTTGGTTTACATTCCATATTCCTGACATCTCCAAGTTACTGGAGTCTCCAGTATACCTTTCACCCATGCAGCTACATGCAGTGCCATTTCAAACACTGTCTGTAAACATTCTGACCCTTCACATAGTGTCTGGCCTCCCAAGCTGTTCTTTGAAATCAGTGGAAACCTCTATGACCCCATTGTTGGTTACTTTTTTCTTGTTGCTTAGACAAAATATCCACTGCCCAAAATTAAGGAAGGAAAGGTTTGTTTAGTTCAATTTGTGGAGGTTTCAGTCCATAATCAGTTTGCTCCAAGGCAAGTTGGCTCATGGCAGAGAGCAACAGTTCATAGTAACAGAAAACGGTAAAAGCAACAAGAGCAAAAAGGGAAGTGTGTGCAGGGGAGACTCTTTTTGTCCCTTGTACTGTATGTAGGCTACCCACCATAAGGTGAGTGTAGCACTCATACCCATAATCCCAGCATTGGACCATGAATTGATCACAAATTCTAGAAACCTACCCCCTTGACTGTATGAGGCTCTAGGGGAGCATCTAAACACAAAACTTACCATTCTACCCTTGGACCCACAAAGATTCGTGCACATCCCTTAGGCAAAAGACATTTAGTTACCAAGGTCCTAACAGTTTCAGCATTGCTGAAAATTCCAAGTCTCCTCAGAGATCTAAGGCAAATTTTTAGCTATAACCCCCTGTATAAATGACAATAAAGTTAAACACTTCCAATATTCCATGACACAATATAAATATTACTATTCCAAAAGGTACAAATGTGGATACAAAAGATTGGGACCAAAGCAACTCCAACATCCAGCAAATATTAAGTCCTTATCATTCCATGTGCAACATCCAAAGCAATCTATGGCAAATTGTGAACTCCAAAAGGCTTGCATGGTTCCAGCCCTATGGCACTTCCAGTGGTTGTAGCTCCCATGGCTTTGCCATAGACTGTCTTTGCTCCCTCCTTGCAGGTTTCCTTAGATGATCCACATTCCTGGCTCCTCCAAGATTCTGGGGTCTCCAGTGCACTTTGGACTTCACAGCTTTACACCTTGCCCTCTCAGTGCTCCCACACCTTCTGCGCAATTTGGGTGGAAGCCTTTTAACCTCAGAACTCTTGCATTCTGCATACACCTAAAACCAGTGCCATATGAATGATGCCGAGGTATACTGCCAACCGGAGCAATACCTAGGCTTTCTTCTTTCTTGGCTATAGGGCTCAAGTACCTAAATTGCTGGGGCATTCCGAATCCAGTTCCAAGGAATAAATTCTCTAGGCTGCCACCATCATGGAACCTGGTGTTGCCACTGCTGTTTTGGAGTCTGGTGCAGCTGCCACCATTTTGGAACCTGGTGCTTTTCGGCTTTCTCCTCAAAGCAAAGCCCTTTATCTTTGCAGTTCTGAGATGGCAAAGAGTGGAAACTTGCTACTTCTCATGATGCTTCCATGCCATCTTTTCTATTCTCCTGTTTCTTCTCAGCAGTCAAGAGCTCAACTCTATCTTTGAAGTCCACAGCTTTACTGGAGTTTTCTTTCTGACCAAACTCATAACGTTTTAAATCATTCTGCTGGACTCTTTGTTCTTGATTCACCACATAAATCTGGCTAAAAACCCCCAACAATAGCCATGCAATTGTCTCAAATTTGACTGCCTTGAAATTTCTTCTTCCAGAATAATTAGTCCACTTCCCTTAATTTTGGTCTCAGGCAGTCTCTGGACATGAGCAAAATGCAGACAAACTTTCTGCCAAGCCATAACACATATTATCTGGACTCCCAACAGCCAATGCAGTCCTTTCCAGCAGATATTTCCTGAGCCTGGTCTTTACTGGTAGGATTTCTATCAGCTTTCTGGTCTTATGAGCTCTCACCAGAATCTTCCATGCAGAACAACCTAAAGTATATCAGTGCTACTTTCAGGAAACATCTCTGAACCTTTCCAGAATCTTCCCACAGGCCATTCCCACAGGCTGTTAAACCACATGGTCAGGTACAGTCAGCACTGACCCCACTTCTCTAGTATCAAATTCTATCTGGCTTACTTTTCTCTTGTTACTGAGACAAAATACCTGGTGCCCAAAATTAAGGAAAGATTGATTTATTTAGTTTACAGTTTTTCGAGGTTTCAGTCCATAATCAACTGGCGGGGTGGCTCTTGGCAGAGGGCAGCAGTTTATGAGAGCAGAAAAGAGCAGAAGCAACAAGAACAAAATGGGAGGAACATGCAGAGAAGACAGTTTTGTCCCTTATATTACATGGAGGCCACCCACCATGGATGAAGCACTCACACCTATAATCCCAGCATTGCATTCGACCATGAATCAGTCACAAATGCTAGAAGCCTACCCACATGACTGCATGAGGCTTTGAGTGATAACTAAACACAAACCATAATACCCATTAGCTTTTACATGCTACTTGCCTACAAAACCAGCAACGTGTAACATGCCACAGTTCTGCCAGTGCCAGCAGTAACCAGGCCTCCTCAGACCACAGCTGCAGTAGCCTCTGCCTACTTGGACAAGTGAACATAGTGAAATGACTCTTGAGGAAATGACTTCCTAGGTGTTGTGCAAATAAGGTCCCCAAAGATGCTCTCTGCCCAAAGCAGTATCTTTCCAAGGAGTTTGTACATGATATCCATCAACCTATGTTCTATAGAGTGTGACCAACTGCTGAGATTCTCTCAAGGCATTTTTCAGTTATCCTTGTACCAAGTAATTTTGCTTATTTTTAGTAGTACCGATCTCTTCAGTAACTTTTCTGTTCAAGTGGCAGGTTTTTCATATCTTTGCACACTGTTTTTTGCTTCCAATTCTCACTGTAAACTTGACCAAAAGCAGCCAGCAATACCCTTGGTACTGCCTGAATCCTGTGCTGCCTTGAGATTGCTTCACCAGATTACGTAGTCAAGTACTTTTACATTTAGCTTCCCATAATGTTTCGGGGCATGGACAAATTGCAGAAAAGTTACTTGCTAGAAGGTACCATGGGGGACCTCTAGTCTAATTCTCTTTGCATTCCTGTGAGCATTCTTATTTTTCGAAGCTATCACTCATTAAGTTTCATTTATAACATTCTAGAGCTTTTTTCCCCTCCTCCAAACCTTTCCAAATTTTTCCAACAGATCAGTTCCAAAGACTTGTGAAACATTTAGGTTTTGCAGTCAGATAAGGTCAGATAATCAGAGAAACAGTTACAGAGGTCAGGTATAGTCAGAACCACAGTCCTACTTCTTTCGCCGATTTTCTTTGTTGGCTTCTTTCACTTTTACAGAATATCTGACATCAACTCTTCAGTCAGCTCATTTATAGTTTTGGAGGTTTTCAGTCCTTACTCAGCGACTTCATAGCTTTTAGACCTCCCTGTACCAAGATGGAAATGTAAATGGGCATTGCAAAGGAAAACTACTGATCTAACAGCAGCCAGTAGGCAGACAAAAATGAGAAGAACCTGAGAGGTCCAGACTAGAGACAAAGTTATCTACAAGGTCACCTCCCCATGACCTGCTTTCAGGCTCCACCTTGTTTCCATCACCTTCCAAGGAGGCCATTAAATTAGCATCATCAGTTAGAGGCACCACGAACCAGTCATTTTCCCAAAACCCATCAGCTGGCCTTCATGGAACATCTAAACTGTAACAGACATGCAGCCTTGTTCTTAAGGACTATAATATAGAATCTCTGAAACCAAGGTTTTTCCTGCCTTTTTCTGCTGTATTCCCACTATTAGAACAACTTAGTAAGTGATCAGTAAGTATTTATTGAATAAAGGTTTAAACAGATGAAACTGCTTTACTTAGCAATTACAAATCCTGTCTATTGCACTGTCTAATTAACAGAATGAGATAACCACAGAATTTTTTTAAACAGAATTCCCATATTTAATTTCATATGTATTTTAATTTCATATGTATTTTAATTTCATATGTAATTTCATCGTTTCCTTTAGCATGTTCACTTTCTCAACAGGATAATACCATTGGCCTCTGTCTAGTGTTAAAATGAATGTGTCTTCCTAACCCCTGAACAAACCCGTATGATGGCAGACTTCTGTGTATGCAGTTTAATATGTGATGTGAAATTTTGACCTTCAGATAGTTCAGAACATTGATCTGCTTCAATCTTTGAATCTGAGAGAGAGACAAAGATAAAATTAACTGGACAGAGGAAAATGGGACATTCCCTTAGTTTGCTTCTGCATAAACACTGGAATTTCAAGGCTGCCCCAAGATTCACATAGATGAGGTTTCACATCCTACCAGAGAAACCACTAGCAGTGTCACACCCTGTTTTTACACCAGAGGAAAAAAGATCGAAGGAAATAACTGTTAAAATATGGGAAGTTTAAGAACAGGAGATCTAGTGCAGAGCAGAAAAGCTCCTGCAGTATCCAGGTCTGTATTGCAGGTTGGCAGCTTTGATATATTTGAAGAAGTAGATAACTGAAGATTTTTTTCTGGAATTATATATGAGGGTAGTGGTGAGTGACAAATTATTGGTAAAACTGTAAGTGTTGCAAACTCTTAAATTCTCTACGTTACATGCTCTTTTGTTGTTTTTAACCTAATTTTTTACATTCCACATGTAATTGAACAGTAGTTATCTTTTTTTCCAATGAATGGAGAATAAAGGTATATGGTTAATAATAACTATACAGAGGTCCACAAATAGTATTACAGGAATGAGAAAAAAGGAAAGAAGGTAGATTATAGTCTGAAAGTAAGGGAATGAAACATTAGATATGAAAGGCTTCTGTTTCTTTCAAACAAGTTTTAAAAGTTTAGTATGAATGTAGAAAACTACAACATCTGAAATGAATGGGAAAGCTATGAAAAATAAATGGAAAAGCCATTGTTTATTTGATTCAGCTACAAGTTGGGAGTGTGCTTTTAATTATAATAAATTTTGTGCTTGTAATTATATTAAATTCAATGATAGTCTATCAATCGCCCAAACAAAGCATCGCTATTGTTTCCAATGGGAAGCTGAGTTCATGTAACTTTTAGATTATGGAACTGATGTACTTTCTATAATTAGAAGCAGTGTAGCTCTAAAAACACTGAAGGTATATTGTAGATCTTCAATAGAATTGTAACAGGGCCTCACTTCCCTTCCGAAGCCAGTTTACCTGCTGAGTAGTAGCCACTCTCTGAAGTCTTTTCAATTGAGAATGTCCAGGCCCAATGATCCTCTTCAACCTACCACTCCCCACCTTTCCAGTAGTTTCTGAAACTGACATTAAGAAACCAAATATAAATAGTAATAATGAAAAACTGAAAGAATAATAAGATCCAAAATGTACAGTAGATATTGTAATAATGAAAGGGAAAGTCCTCAAAAGGAAAGAACAACTTGTAGGTATACACATATAATACAACTTTATGCATGGTTAAGTGTGCAAGATAGATAACCATACTGCTAGTTCTGTTAGCTCATCAAAAGAATAGTTTGTGCTGTCATTGTTTGATTGTCTGTTCATTTTAATGCCTTGATTTTGTAACTTAAGCAACTACTTCTAAGATAACAATGTGTGATACATTAACTAGTGTTGATTTCTTACTGTTATTTTCTTGAAATTCTGTATTACTTCTATTCTTTTTTCTGTTTTGCTTTTTAAAAATAAAACTTGAGCCCTTGTATAGTCAAAAAATGATTAGCTATTGTCAGCTTATACTAGATAATACTAATTTTTTACTTGTTATAAAATAAGGACTAGAAATTCACATTTATTTAGCACTTATAAATAAAAAGGCATGTGGGACTACTCAGTGTTTTGAGAGTCTCAATAGGTTAGTTTTTCTCTTTTCTGCTATAATATAGAAGAATTTTTAAAAGTTTCTATATGCATGTTCAATTACGAAAATTGTGTGTATATGTGTATGCATATGTATATATATGTGTGTGTGTGCATCATGTGTATATCAATATAACATACTGAGTGGCAGAGAATATAAGAATTAATGTACATTATTAGATCATACATAAATTATGACTGATCTTATGACAGAACAGAAGCCAATTAACTACAAGTTATATTTTTAGTGCAAACTCATTATTCTCAAACTGTCAGTATTTTTAATTGAATCCTTAATTACTTTGAACATGTTTTAATTTACTACGCTCTAGAAATTAGTGGCGTTAATAATCTCATGTGTCATAGGTAAGACAGATTACTACTTGAAAGCTTTAATGAATGAGAAAAAGTCACCTAATAAACTTCTTTATAATGATTAATATGCCAGTTAATAGAATATGCTGAAAGTAAATGTGCTGTTTTACAATTTGCCTTCAAGACTTTCTTCCGATTACCCATGTGGCCTTTATCTCACAGTGTCTGGCATATAGACCCTTTTAATGGTTGCTGGCTGAAAAGATTAACTGGAAGGTCTCTCTCAGTGTGTTTCTGAGTTATTCTGTCTTAATTTACCACCTGTCTTATGGTAAAATTGTCACTACTGCTGTCTGATCACTCTCTCTCTTCTCTTTATCTGTATTGCTCCTGAGCAGGTGTGTCAAGGATGCCACAATGCCATCGACCCGGAAGTGCAGCGGGTGACCTATAACAACTTTAGCTGGCACGCATCCACAGAGTGCTTCCTGTGCTCCTGCTGCAGCAAGTGTCTCATCGGGCAGAAGTTCATGCCAGTAGAAGGGATGGTTTTCTGTTCCGTGGAGTGTAAGAAGATGATGTCTTAGGAGAGACACCAAGCAATTTTGACACCATGCTATCCAAAGTGTCTTAGGAGCACCAAGCAGTTTTGACACCATGCCTATCCAAAGTGGTCTGCATTTCTACTGTAAAATGCAATTTGAAGAAAATAAAAAGAAAGAATATTATAAAGGCAACCAGAAGATTTTATTTTTCGTATCAGGTTTTTCTGTCTTAAGCTCAAAAACGTTCATTAAACATTTGATTTAAAAATGGTGATGACCTCTAGCTTGCCTTAGTTTCCTAAATGTGAAGTCTTTGAATTGGAAGTTTGAGTTTAATCTTCATATCCTAGACTATTGGTGCCAAAAACAGTATGTGTAAAGCAAAAGTTAGTGTCTTGGGTGGAAAGATGAACATTTCTAATTTTATATTCTTTTTTCCCCTTCATGTATAAAATTGAATTTTCCCTAATGCCAAGGCTTTACATTTATTGCATCATCTTCTTCGCTGAGCACAGTGAGTTCTTTTTAAATTTAACAGAGAATGTAGAAATATAGTATAGTATGTAGAGCTGTTCTAATGCCTGTGCATTTGTTGTTTCCTGATTTAGGTAAAAGTGGCATTTTCTGTATTGCATTTTTCTGTATTTTACTTATCCTACCTCTCATTATAGTCTCTTTGTAAAGTGGTAACTTCCATCTGTGGCCTTTCATTATCACGTGTGGCATAGCGGTATCCGCACTTTTTACTTTTATAGGTATTTATCTAGATATAACCAAACTCATTTATAATATTATTTTTAATCCAAAGAATATGTATAGTTTTTATACCCAAGAAACTATATCTTGTACTTATTGCACTTCCCAGCCATGGTTTGAAGAGATTTTTTGCATGCTTCTTAATCTTATCTAATATTCTGTCTTATGATATTTCTAAACCCATTCATAGATATATAAAATGTCTTTGCCAATATACTTCCATCGTTGGGTATTTCTGATGTTTACTTTTTCCCTATATACTGCCATACATGCTATGCACTATGAAAATTGAATGGAATCAGTGATATGTATATTCAAAATAAAGTTTCTAAAAATTATCTTTGTGCATCCTTTTCCAGCAAAAGTGTCTTCTGCACTGAAGCATCTGTTACAGCAGGGGGCAGTGTCTCCTAGGACAAAAACTACCCAGACAAAAAGAGGCTACATCTGACCAGACAGAAAAATGACTTCATTATAGAAGAGTTGTTTTAAGTTAAATTATTTTCTGGTCATGCAGGAATTTTTCTTTCTCTCCACTATCATTTTTTACTTCTTTGTCATTTTGATTGAAGTTTGGAAAGACCTCTTTAGGTGAACCTAACAAGACTCATACTTAGTTTGTGACTTGTTTTTCAGGTTTCTAAAGTTTTTCACGGTAATTGTGAGAAAGGAAGCAAATGAGACTACTAGTGTAGGTTTTTATCCTAATATCAGTGAATGATGTAGACGTTTGTGTGGTTTATTGGAGCTTTTTTCTTTTCTTCAATCTGAAGTATTTTAGTGGGTTTTATAATTTTCTGATATATAACTAAGAGAATTTAGGTTTTCATGTGTGTTTTCTAGCTCACACTGTCAGATAGTGCCTCTCTTTATGCCCCCCACTGTGTACACGTACACAGATAGCACATTTTTTCCTTCTGCACTGTGCCATTCTCAGCCATGGAAAATTATCTTTTGGACCTTGAGCATGTGCCATCATATCAAAAGAAGTAATCTAATTCTACATACAATTTTAAATGCTAATATTAAAATATCAATGATAGCATATAAATACTACTTTATATTTGCTTATTTGCCTTTATATTAAATGGTAGAAGATGTATTTTGCCCAGCATTTTGAATAGCCTACCTTTCTCACAATAGTTGAGAGATTTTCAAGGTCCTTGGTCATTCTTATTGCTAGATTTATAAAAATAGACTTTTCAAATACTTTCTCTTACAAGAGTAAGGTGGTTATTAAGTTCTACAAGACTTATTTTTCTTCTAGCATTTAAGATGTATCTCCCTCACCACTGCCATTTTTTTATTTCTTTGTTGTTCTTAATTCTAAAGACTTCTCCAGAGAACATAGGGAAAATATAAAGAAATAATAAAAGTTTTATCTGGGTTTGTACATTAAGCCATTCATTCTAATTATTTCCTTTGAATCAATTAATGGAAATTTTTCTCATAATCCCATACGAGTTCTGTGTTTCAGAGGCCAAGCACACACTGTCACCAGGCTGGGTCTGAGGGTCCCTGATACTGAAATAAGGGATTTAACCCTTTCGTAAATTTGTAGGTTTTCTGACTTGTCCCAGAAACAGAATTTTTAGGACACATCAAGAAGAGTCAAGAAGAGGACTTACTAGAGATACGGGACACTGGGAGGGAGAAAATCCCAGAGCACACAATCATCAGTAACCCCACAAAGCAGGAAAAGGTCATCACCTTTTCTGTATAGAAGCTGGCATCTCAGATATTAAAAAGTGCAAAGAATGACTTGTTTTCCTGTTTTTTTCAATGGCAGTGGTAACCTGAGAGCAAAAAGGTTGGATGAGGAAAGAAAAGAGAGAGACTTCTTTCCTGAGCCCCAGGGAATTCAAACTCATAGTCAGTTGCTGAAGTCTACTGAGGTAATAGTATATTACTGTCCTTATTGGAAGAATCAGACCAGTAGCACTGTGTGAAGTTTGTATACGCCTGTTCATCTCTAATCAGAATAGTTTTGCTCCTAACCCTTAAGATAATTTTAAGAAATCAATGGATTCTTGTGACTCAATCGACTAAAAAATCTTTCTCAAGAGTTATTGGCCTTCATATTTGTTACACAGTTTTTTTTCTTCTTTCTCTCTAGAAATGAGACTGAGGATTTTTTTCTTTAATCAACTCTAGCTGGAACCTTTGTGATTGAAGTCTTCATAATTTTCCAAGTCTGAATTTGAAACATTTCCACTCAGCTTCACTAAAGGCAAGAGATTCATTATTGACTCATTCTTAAGCAATTTCCAGCATGTAGTGTTTAGACTCATACAGATTCACCATGGTTACCAAAAGCTGCCACCCAGGATCAGTATTCATTCTTTGTCTCAGCCTGGCATACCTGAACTTGTCTTCTAGGTGTATTCACTTAATTCCTTAGAAAACATATGACTCCATCATTGTCTCCATAAAAAACGCTCTTTACCACAACTTCTTACCAGATACGCTCTGGCCCTTCCTGACATCTAATTTAAGTGCTGAAAGATAATCGTGATTTTACTGAATCTTTACATGTATGAAAAGAACCCACAATACAGGGATGTGAGTGTTTTGAGAACACAATGTGAAAAACATGATAAGTGGAATGTTTAAATGTATTTATCAAGTAAGTAAATAGGTTTGACTAATTTTTTGTGCTTTCATGGGTAACGTCATTATAGCTCCTATTTAATTATGCATTTTGAAGTAATGTCATTAACCTTTTATACTTGTTTTGATTGGCATTTTACACTGACATTTATAAAAAGCTGCTATTGATTTTTCTTCAGTGATATGTCTCCCCAAGATATCTTGACCTTCAGACAGTAACAAAAGCAACTCATAATGTTACCTTTACTGGAGTCAGTTGCTATTGAATGTAGAGATGTTCGAGTTGATTCTCCCATAAATATTGACTGTGAGGCACTGTGGTATATAGTTCAAAAACCTGGGTTTGGGGCTCTAAATAGACACTTGCTGGCCAAGTCCCACTGATTTTCCTCCCACAGTTACAGGGGAGTAGTATGGAGGACAAGAGTTTTGTATTTGAGGACACTAAGAAGGACAGGTCCAAGTATTGGATGAACACCAGTGGATATATTGAGGTCCAGAATAACAAAGTAAATAATGAGCTGGGGCTAGTTTTATCAAATAATGTGAAACAATGTCCGAATTTGATAGGAAATTGGAACTAAGGTAGAAACAAGTAGGAAACTAAGGTAGAAATGGCTGGTAAAGTCTCAGACCTTATATTTCAAAAACCTGTGATTTTTTAAGAAAAAGGAACTAGTGGAGATAATGAAAAATAAGGAGACACCTACTCCTAGACACTAGAGATGGATGAAAGCAGAGAGAGAAAGTGTGGGAAGGGAGCAGGTCAAATGAGATTTTTCAGACCGAATGGACATCGAGTTTCTAATGTGGCTGAAAATTTCAGATGGCCAGAGTAGATCTGGAAAGCATTTTATGCTAACGTTATTCCAAATAGTTTCTTAGAAAAAGGTGAGTAATCAGGAATGCTTTTGGCAATGAGTCACTGAAAATACCAGTAGGAGTGGCTGAAAGATACAGGCTAACCCAAATTTGGCTCAGACAAATTCATTTTAATCTCTGCTGTTATCCTCTAGGTGTTAGCTTGCATGCTACAGTAATGGTGAATGATACTATCCCTATTTCCTCCCCTTAATTCCTGGAGTCCTAAATCTTGACCAGTGGGGAAATTAGCATATATTGGACACTGATTTAGAGTTTTTACATTCTCCTGGAGAATCTTGCCCCAAAGCTCTGAAGGTATTGCCACCTAACTATGGCAACTACAGTGCCACAGTTACAGAACCACACTACAGTGCCAGAAGATGGAACTACCATTCCATTTTCCAAAGGTAGTTCCACAGTTCTGTCAGTCCATCTGCTTCTTGGTAGTGGGGAATATGGTAAGACCATAAGCACGAGCCCATTGTGGTACTTCTTTGGCCATAAAGTTCATTCCTTGATCAGTACCGGTGCTGTGCCGAATACCATGACTATAAATGAGGCATTATGTAAGTCTACACACAGTAGCTTTGCCAGAAGGATTATACGCAGGAAAGGCAAATCTATACTTAAGCTAAGTGTATATGGAAAAGGTCCAGTATTCAGTAATACTTCAGTTCATAAACACTTCTGTTCATGAACGATTTGGATCATGAACAGAGGCGTTGAACAAAATTTTATTTAACCCCTGCATAACCTCCATCCTTGTCACCTTAACCACTTAGAGATGAGCCTAGTAGGCAATGACAATAGATGAAGAAAAGTGTTTATTGCTGTCATCCCATTCATTTCATTATTCAATGACCTCTTCTGGTGAGGTCACCTTTTGCTAAGTGCTTATACATTCTCACTCCAGTGATGATTGTAATCAGTATGCACTATGAACATGTACTAATAAAAATTACAGTAAAGTACTGTTTATAATTTTTCTATAAATTGTAATCATCATTTAAGCTCTCTGTGCATAATTTTTGTCTATAAAACTGGACTATTAATTACTGTACCGTATACTACATTTTTAAAATGTGGGCATACAAATGTTGTAACCTCACATAATATTTGAAATTTTTCCATCCACCATCTGAAATTCATCTTCACTACTCTTGAACCTAAATGGACTTAGGGACTAATTGGATATACAGAATTTCGAGGTCATAAGAGAAGATAGCACCTCCAGGCTCATCCACCTTCTACCTCACCTCCCTGCTCTAAGAACCCAGTTATTCTACAAGGAAATTCAATGAAGCCCACTTAAGAGACGTAGGCAGAAGTATTGAAACTCCCAGCCTGAGGCTGGCGTCAGCTACCAGACAGAAAGGTAAATGATTCTTCAAACAATTTCAGTACCAAGCTGAAACCCTAGACGTCAACAGAAATAGTTGAACTCAAATTGTTTTGTCTAAATTTCAGAACTGCAGGATTTATAAGCAAAATACCAGCTTGTTCCATAGGTATCTCTTAACACCTACAGAAGAGAATCATTTCATACAGGAAGATTTCTGAAAAACATCTAAATTTTTTTATAAGCTATAAAATGTTAACCGTAAAAATGTATTTTTTTCATGTAAACTTGTTTAGAATATTAATTTTTGTCCTCTCATTCTTTCTCTAATGCAAACTTCTCCCTTTGTAATCATCTTGATAAACTGAAGTGTGTAACGACAGTGTGTGAACATCAGGAACATTTATAATACTTTAGACTCAAAAACCTAGAAAGCACTATTTTCCGAACAGTATATTCCAGGGGTTAGTATCACAGTCCTGGCACATGTTGAAGGCCTTGTTTTTCCTTCCAGAGAGTCTTCAG